TCTCTTTTGGTGGATTTCTAGAAGTGATGAAAGACATTCGGCTCTCAGCATTGGGTGGAGGAAGTGACATTGCAGCGCACCACCCATAAGTGTCCAGCAGGTGGCGGCAGTGCCCCATAGACGAGACTGGAATGGTGTAATATACATGATTTTGGGGAGAAGACTCTTCTGGCTCTATGCTGAGATGTGAGCTCCGGGTCAGGTACCTGTGTGACGGGTCCTCTGGATGTGACGGCTCCTCCTTCTGGTCAGGTCCTCGTGTGACGGCTCCTCCGGGTCAGGTACCTGTGTGACGGCTCCTCTGGGTCAGGTCCTCGTGTGACGGCTCCTCCGGGTCAGGTACCTGTGTGACGGCTCCTCCTTCTGGTCAGGTCCTCGTGTGACGGCTCCTCCGGGTCAGGTGTGTGACGGGTCCTCCGGGTCAGGTACCTGTGTGACGGGTCCTCTGGGGGGTTCGCTGACTTGGACGGGTCGCCTCTCTGCGGCGGCAGGAGGAGGAATTGGTGAGAAGTCTGATGGGTGGTCTATGTCAGCACTGGGAGGACGTTCAGTACATGATGTCGGCTGTACTTCCTCCTGATCTGGATGTATTCTCTCTCATTCTCTCCATGTTCCTCTTTTTTCGGGTTCAGTGTTACAGGTTTCCAGTTGGATTTCCTCCTCGGCCCTGAACTTCCCCCGCTGCTGCATCCAATCAGAGACTCGCCTGACAATGGGTCTGGTGTACGATGAATGCGGCCTGCAGCCTGCGGCGGGTGTGAATGGCGCCGTCCCTGTTCTATGGCGTCGCTGGGCGAGCAGCAGAATGGGGGCCAATCGGATCATTTCACCCGGAAGGGATATTTCAGCTTGCGATGGATTCCGGGGGGGGAGGAGATAAACCCCCCGGACAGGTTTTCCTGCACGCCTCTCGCGGACTCCATTGCTGAGATCTCTGCGCTCGGGTGTGAAAAGTCCCCGGAATGAGATCGCGATCCGTGTATATTGTGAAGTGACAATGTAACGAGTATCACACAGAGAGATAATGAGATCAGTGCAGGGAGGGCGTCTTCACAGTGACAGCAACCTAACTGCAAGTAAAGAATCCCTCCCTGTATGATGATAACAATCCTTTTTCACAAACCTTCCAGAAATAACACACAGCGTAAATCAATGCGATCTCAGTACACATGTGCAGACATGTACAGGACACGCATGTGGGTATAATTCAAGAATAGCCGCTGCACCTACAATCCCATCACTTCTCCAGTTCCTGGGGCTCAGTCCCAAGGTAACTCACAGCGGTACCGGTCACTGTTGATCTCTCTCCTTGTGCAGGGTGACTGGTCTGGTCTCCGCCCCCTCCTGTAATAAAGACCAGTCACTGCTGTTCTCTCTCTCTCCTTGTGCAGGGTGACTGGTCTGGTCTCCGCCCCCTCCTGTAATAAAGACCGCTTACTGCTGCTGATCTTTTATTGGTTGGTGTTTAGATGAAGCACGGAGATCTGGAGGAATGGTGAATTAAGTTTTATTTGCTTATAAGAATATTACATCAGAATACAGCATTATACAGGAAACAGATAAACCTTCCTGTGTATCATAGATAAGTATGCATAAGCATAGAGACCACAGCGCCATCTACAGCTCACAAGTCATAAGGGGGTTATTCACTAAAGAGCCGAAGGATTCAACCTTAGCTTATCCCGCCTCTGCCCTTCAGTTCAGTTGAACCGCCGTGATCTTAGAGCTGGCTCCGCCCATTTGTCATGACAGATCAGCGTCCCCAGAGGATGCAAGGAGCTGTGGGAACATTGGGGGTGCTGGACACACCAAAAGAACACAGGGGAGCTAGAGTCCCTGGAGCCAGAGGGGTTCTGCACACACAGTAGCACACAGCAGCAAAAGACTGGAAGCACCTGAGCTCTGGACACACTGGAAGGCAGGGAGAGCAAGAGTCTCTGGGATCACAGGGGTGCTGGCATCACACGGACGCAGGAACACAGGGGTGAAAGTCTCTTGCAGCAAAGGGGTGCCGGGGGGAACAATGGAAAGCAAAGGTAAGTCTCTTGCAACACTGGGGTTCTGGGAACACAGGGGTGAAGGTCACTGAAAGTACAGAATGCAGCAATACTGAGAGCTTACTGGGAGTACACAAGGCACCCATGCGCAGGAATGCTGAAAACTATCTCACAGGGAACACAGGTAGCTGGGGTCAGAGCACATTGTCACAGTCACAGAAGTGCAAAGGGATCAAAGTGCAGAGGTCACCGGAGAGGCTGGGGGTCACAAGAATTCCCAGGGAAACTAGAGGGACAGGAGACACAGAGTTAGTGGCGGCACAGGGGTGCAGGGATGACACTGGGGTGACAGGGGTCACAGAGTGACTGGAATGCTTGGAGAAGTGGAACTATGAACTAGAATTTGGGGTCATGTGGGGACACTGGAACAATGGTCTGTGCCTGGGGAAATAACCTATTACTCCGGCATGGGTGGAGAGGCAGCTTGCCGGGCTGGGAGAGGACCGGCTGTGAAGCTGATTATATCAGACAGCAGGTGAGAGGCAGGGATACCCACAGGCCCGGCGCTACCGCAAGGCAAGCGGCCGCCTGAGGGCGCTGCAGGGCGAGGGCGGAAAAAACAGGGCATTTTGACAAGTACTTGTACTTACCAAAATGCCCCGATGCTTGCGCTATGTTTTTTTTGTTCTTCACTTACCTTCGGCGCGGGAGAGCAGTGGCGAGTCAGCGCTGCTCCGGTGGGAGGAGCTGCAGGTGTCCTAATTTAGCTGGCCAGCGACTGCCAGAGGATCCCGACACGCGCGGCACCTCTGGGCAGTCGCCGTCCAGCTAAATTAGGACCCCCACCTGGAGCTCCTCCCACCGGACCAGCGCTGACTCCGCCGCTGCTCTCCCGCGCCGAAGGTAAGTGAAGAATGGAGGAGCTGCAGGTGGCCTAATTTAGCTGGCCAGCGACTGCCAGAGGATCCCGACACGCGCGGCACCTCTGGGCAGTCGCCGTCCAGCTAAATTAGGACCCCCACCTGGAGCTCCTCCCACCGGACCAGCGCTGACTCCGCCGCTGCTCTCCCGCGCCGAAGGTAAGTGAAGAACAAAAAAAAACATTTTTTTAAAAACTACGCAGAGCCCCAAAACCAAAATTGCGCTTTTCGCCTGTGTAGGCAAAACTCCTAGCACCGGCCCTGGATACACATAGCTGCATTAGATTACATTGTCTTCCACAGGAACAGGACTACAACTCCCACAAGTCTGTGTGCTCCCATTGCTGAGAACTAAGCCAAGCATGTCTCTGTTACAACATACAAGCAACCAGACAGGGTCAGACTACATGTCTGCGGAACAACCAGTGACTATCATCTGGAGATAGAATGAAGCCTGTGAGTTGTAGTTTGGCTTTTGGTAGATCTTCTGCAATTCGACTTAAAGGACATTTAACCTTTTTATTACAAGTTTTCCTTTAATGAATTACCGTATTTTGCGGTCCATAAGACGCACCGGACCATAGGACGCAGGGAGGTCCGGCGCGCCTTATGGAGCACTCGAGACTGTAGCTTCTGTCACAGCTTCTATGACAGAAGCTGTGACAGAAGCTGCAGTTAGTGACCGCTGAGACAGGTGGCGCTGTGATTACAGCGCCACGGTCTCAGTGATCACACAGAGCAGGCGAAGAACGTCTATTCTATATCTGCTCTATGGTTATCTCGATCGTCGCCGCTGCTCGGTTTTAATACGAGTGATCTCGTTAGATCACTCGTATTAAACGAGCAGTGGCTCCTACTACTCGCCCGGCGCCCGAAACTGCATGTCTCGGGCGTCGGGATTCGCTCCATAAGACGCAGGCACTTTTCCCCCCTCCTTTTGGGGGGAAAAAAGTGCTTCTTATGGAGCGAAAAATACGGTACCTCACCACCGAGTGCAGCACACAGGATAACATACTGACCTTCCACCTAGTTCCAGCATTCCTCACGGTGTGGTGTTGCCCATCTCTGCATAGCCTAGAAAATGTCACCACTGGGTGTTCTTGGCAGTCCACATGTGAGCTGCGACCACATTCGTTCTTATAGGAAAGCCGGCACCCCGTTGGATCGCTGAAGGCCACAATGAGCACGACTCTCCCGTAGGAATGAATAGGGCCATGGTGTGCATGAGCACTAAGAAGACGGCCCAGTGGGGATGTGTTCTGTGGAAAAGTTGTGCAGTCATGTGCAAGATCCCTGGAACAGGGAGGACAGTAAGTATGTAGTCAGGTGCAGGGGCGTAACTAGAAATCACAGGGCCCCATAGCACAATTTTGTATGGGGCCCCCGTGATTTCTTTTTATACCCCTTGCAGAGCCCACTCGAGATCCCACATGAGGGTGATCCTGCAGAGCCCACCATAGAATCTCTATGGTGAGCTCTGCAGGGTCACCCTCAGGTGGGCTGGTCGCACTCCTTACCTGTCCGCCTCCTCTTCATCCACGGTCGCTGATGGGCCCCGCCTCCTCCGTCGCTGGGCCCGCCTCCTTCATCACCGGGCCCCCGCCTCCTCCCCTGTTGCCGACCACGGGCCCGCCTCCTCCTCCTCCACTGCCGGGTCCAGCCAGCTCCACCGCCGCAGCTGGCTCTCATTGACTCTGTGGAGAGCTACGCGCCGCTGCACAGATTACTGTCAGCGGCGTGTTCGTCTTCAGCCGCCAGTGAAAGCCACCGGCAGAGAATCCCATAGCGACCCAGGCGGCTCGTACGGCATCAGGCCGGGCCCCACTGTGCCCCGGGCCCCATAGCAGCTGCCTGGGTCGCTATGGTGATTGTTACGCTACTGGTCAGGTGTGTGCACTCAGGGGGTTGGGGGGAATTCATTAAAGAACAACTTCTCCTAAGGATACAGTTGTCTATTAAAGTCCATGTATATTTTTTTAGCTTTAGCAGGGAACAGTTCAAAGCTCCGTCTGGTTTTTACTGGATGTTCTAATCATTACCTACTCCATCCAAAACCACAAAAGTTTGTGTCTATAGATTCACTTTAAAGGTCCCTCAAGCTGGCGATCACGTCTTCTTTAGTGATAGTCTCCCACTGGGGTGGAATTGCTCCTCTACATTCAAACTTCAAGCCATAGTCCTCTTGCAGGTTTGTACGGAACTTGCACACATACCACTTCCAGTAGAGCGGAGAAGACACGTCTTGAGTGATGCTCCAGTTGGCATAATTTGGGCCAATCCTTCTGTAATATTTGTAAGGAATTTGAGTTCCTCTGTCTACAACCAGGCAGGAATCTGAGCTCACAAGGGTTGAACATATCTCTGTGACGAATTCATCGGTATTCACCCACGGCATGCCATTAATTGCCTGGGAACGATGGAAAGCCACAGAGTGATCGCCATCATGGCCGGGGATTGTGTTGGTGCATATTGCTCTACAGAACGGGCACTGTTCCCAGCAGCCGCAGAGCTGCTCAATAAGTATTTCATGAGGCTTCTTCTCAAAAGAGTCAAAGTTGATGGTTGCCAAGCCTTTTTGAACATTCTCAATGGCAGTATCCCAAGCATTGCACATGACTTCCTGAAAGAACTGGGTGTCCTGGATCTCCTGGTGCTCAATGCTCTTTAAATCTGCTCTTGAAAAAGTCACAAGATCCTCGATTCTTTCGTAGAAGGCGTCTAGCCAGTCAGACATGTTGCCGCTTTCATTCTTAAATTTGGTGGATTTAATGATGCTTTCAAGAACGTTTTTGCGGAAATAATCAAGACTGATCTGCAGGAAACGCTTCATTCTCGGTGGATCGTTGCCCAGACAGTAATCACTAACGCATTTCTCTATAAAGCTTTTGAAAAACCTCTTTGGGAAGTGAATATATTCCCTGTATTGTTCAAAGTCTTCCTGCTCAGCTAAGTCCATCAAAATGTAGTTCTCCAGTTTGGAGCGGTTGCCACTGAAGGCTGGAAAGTTACACGTCATCTCGTCAACAATTGCCAGAGCTGTTCTATCATACAGTGTTGGAAGCATGGCTTCCACGATCTTCGTACACAGGAAGTCAGAAAATGTTTTGATGGAGGCAGCGCCTTGGCAAGAGATTCTGAAACAGTTGAAAAACTCTTCACGGTTGTTGTCAAGAGTTACAATGGGATTGTTGGCTCTCTGAAATGTCTCATGCATGGATTCAAAGATGGGCACCGCCAAACCAAGGAGATGCAAGGACACCTCGAACTTGAACAAATTGGTCAGTGTAAACTTCCTTGATGCGTCAGAATTGATGTTGTTAACAGAGACAGATACTTCATTAATTATCTCATGAAAGTACATTTGATTATAATCTACCCTTTCTTTCCGTTTTCGATCCAGATAGGCATTAACGTCTCCAACCAGGTTACTGAACATTTGCCCAATCTGTTTCTTATCAGATTCATTTAGTGTGTGGCGCAATAATAACATACCTTTTTTGCCTGTAGCATGCTTTGAGAAATCAATGGTGAATGAAGTCCATCTACTGAACTGGTTAAGTTTATCATTAAAACTCTGCTCGCACCTAAAGTACCCCAACAGGACATCCTCTGCGTCAGCGATTATGTGGGGTTTTTCTGTATGTGGGGCAGTGGCATTTATTTCAGCGACCCATTCTTGCCACAGGAGGTTGAAGTGGCTACTTAGTTGAGATTCATCTAGACCATCATCTTTAATATCAAGCGCCAACTGTTTACTTTTGCTAAACAATTCGTCCTCGTACCCCGTCTGCCTCTGCTCCACTCGTCTCTGACTCTTTTTCAGGCTGATGCGTTCCATTCCTTGCCTTTTGGTTTCTTCTACAAGCTCCGTGTATAGGCTTTTTAATCTGTTTTCAGTGTTGGCTTTCCACTGGATCAGTATCTCTCTGTCCTTATCTTCATTAAAAAATCTTTCAAACTCTTCTTTAATAGAGTCGAATGTGTCGGTCACCTCTTTCTCCACAGCATTTTGGCTGACGGAGCCAATCTCACCCTTCTTAATTTTGTTGTTCAATCTGGTCTGGAGTTCCAGAAAACTGCGCCTCAGCTGCCATGTCAGGTTTCTGTACTTGTTCTCCACCTTGCTGTAGGCAGAAATTTCCAAGGTGTTTTTAAAACTAAACACAAAGTTCTCATTTCTCAAAGCTGACCAAAGGTCCTCTATGCGGACAATGAGCTTTGAAACGTTCAGAATGCTGTGGGGATCTTTTTGCATACTCAGTATGACGTCTTTGACTTTTTGAGCATCCTCGCTGTAGTGCGGGTTAGGGGGAGCCATCGGAGGGTTTCCTTCCCACAGATGAGCAAAATAATAAATGTGAATTTTTGAATCGAATCTGATGACCTCGCCGAAGCGCTGAATGTTGCACTGTTCATGTTCAGCGGCCAGAGCAGTCATTTTGTCTAGTTCCATCTGAAGGTTGCGACGCCCTTCCATATTTTTATCTTTAGCGGTTAAGTCTCCAACATTCTGGTGAACAAAGAGGCAGCTTGAGGAGAGCTTTACCCGTTTCATTCTCAGGAACGCCTGGACAGCAATTTGCAGAATGTCTTTGATGTCAGAAGGATTCTCACCGAAGACGTTGATCAGTGTCATGTTGCCCACGCCTATAACAAACGTTGCTAGTTCATTGTCATGATTCAAGGTTACTTTGCTGGTCAGCTCCATGGCTCGCAGGCCTTCGGTGTCAATAACAAGGATATAATCAATGCCCAAGTCTTTCCTGAGCTCGTCTGCAATTTCAATAAGCTGCATGAAAGCTCCCCGGGTACATCTGCCAGCACTGACGGCAAACTGCAGACCAAACATGGTGTTGAGCAGAGTTGATTTACCCGAACTCTGAACCCCAAGTACAGATAGAACAAATATCTTCTTATCTCCTATGATTTTATTTAATTCTCCTAGGACAGCTTTTATCCACTTCAAGGGCACATAGCAAGCATCGCCGTCCATCAGCTCAATGGGGTATCCAGAAACCATCATGTCGGCAGCAATTTTAGGCAGCTCATGGAAGCAGTCATCTTGATGTTGCAAGTCATAGAGAGCTTCGTATGTCTGTCCGACTTCTCGAAGGATATGCTCAAGACCAAACATACAGGCGTTCATCTTATCCGAGAGAGACTCCAGGTCTTCCTGTACTGTGTTCATCAAATCTTTGTCCTCCGTTTGCTCTGACTGAAGTTGACTCCACAGTCTGTTGTACTCGTCCCGTAGTTCCATCACGCGGTCACCGCACAAGTCATCAATGTAGATTTTTAGCCACTGTAAGAAGAATAGTTTGGTTGTCTTTGTAAGAGATCGCAACTGATTGATGAAGACTTTCATGAATTCATTCTGATTTGCTTTTTCTATCTGTTTCTTCCTGAATAACATTTTATCCATCTCAATGTCACTACAGTGTTGCTCAATGCTTCGATTCATCTTGTTCTGCAGTCGCGTCAACTCTCTGTCTTTTTTGCACCAGGAATGCCAGAGCTGACCCGAAAGAGGTAACAATTCATCCTTGGACTTCAGAAGATCTTTTTGCTTCAAAAGTGACATAATCTTCTGAGCGTGGGATTTGCCCTCAGTACATTCCTTGCTGTCTTCATCCACCAGGAACCCATTCCGACGACCTATTTCAGCGCAGAGTTCAAGGTTACAAGGCTTGGAATACCGAGCCAACAAACGGCGGAGAGATTCAGTTAGCTCCTTCAAGACTTTCGCTTCATTTTGGTTTTTTAGTCCAATTATCACCTGTTTGCTTTCTGTGTGTACGTTCTTCGAAGCCTCGTTGTCTGGCAAAAGAATTATCAGTGGTTTCTCTTTTAGTTTTTTTAACAAATCACTCCCTTGCGGCTGCCGATCAGATTTTGAGAGCAGGATGACATTTATGGATGAAATCTCTTGTAAAAGTGCAGCTTGCTTGGTATGACTCCAGGCATCTCCACGGAGGTTCACAAAGGCAGTGACTTTCTTAAACTGGTCCGTGTCCTTCCCGCTTGGGCAAAACCAGAAGATCTCAGTAAGTCCATCGACCAGAACGCGATCCTTCACGCTGCCTTCACAGTTCCTGTGATAGAATATATCATGTTTGTGCTTGCTCAGCAGATTGTTCAGAATCTGGGATTTTGAAAATGAAGATGTTCCAAACCGGGTGAAAGAGATGACGGGAAAATCACTTTGGCAGATCAGCTTTTCTTTATGCTTCACAACTTCTGGTACATCAGTGTCCAAAATACTCTTATCGACCTGCCTGAAAGCCCACAGAGGTATTTCTACCGTGGAGTCATAAGGCCTTGGCACTATAAGTGGCAGCGCAAACTGGCACATGGACAACTTGGTAAAAATATATTGCCTCATCATGTCATCTGCACAGTAGTAGACGGCCAGCAACAGGTCCATGGGGTGAATCACCTTTACCTCAGGCTGAACCATGTGTGTCTCTTCTGTGGAACAGAAATCAAATAGCTCATCAACTGTGTCAAAGGTGCTAACCTCGTCTTCAGGGTTCATTACATTTTCAGCTTTGCTGACATCATCAGTGTTCCTGCACACCAGGTACCTAAAGCGATAATCTAAACTCATCAGCATTTGCATAAGCCGCCAAGGGAGCTCAGTCTCCTTCTCTGGATGAATCTGCAGAGATTTGTGAACTACATGAAAGTTCCTTCTGTTCAAACCTTTAGGGTAATATTGGTCTAGGCCCAATGTTTTCATGAGTCTATGAACATTTTCATTGGAAGTATTAATTTCTACACCGTCAATGGTTGGTTGTTCTTGAGGTTCAGTTGTTGATACAATTACAGATTTTAATGTATGTACTTGGCTTTCTGTAGTTTCATTGACAATGGCTTCAGGTTTTCCCATGTACAAATGGTTCATGTCAGCAATTAAAGATTGCAAGTCAAAAAGTTCACTATGCTTCTGTAGAACAGTCAGAATCTCTGGTTCCAGGGTATTTCTTATGTTCTCCAACATAAAATTGAGAAATTCCTTTTTTTGTGCAGCAGACCTGGGCCTACTGCCCTCGTCACCCAGTGTGAGTCCTGATGCCAGTATCAAGGCCTGCCCTCTGTATGCTTTGATGTCTTTGACATTCTTATATTCCTGGAATAAATACTGCATCTTTTCAACCAAGAAGTTGACCTCTTGCATTCCAAGACTCTGCTGGAAATATTGATTCTGCCATGAGTATCCCACACAGCTCGCAACACAAACAACCAAAAGCTCCTCTTCTTTTTGTTCCATGCGTCTCAATGTTTTAAAAAAAGATTGAAGGTAAGAATTAATGATAACTGAAAGTTTAGTTGTGGTTTCCTCATCATCATCATCAGTTGCATGAACGTGTAGGTCTTCTTTTGCCTTGGACATCCGTTCTATCAAAGCTGAAAAATCAGAGACGTCAAGCAAGACGTGTTGCTCTTTCTTAGACTGGTGAATCCATTTAATTATATCTGCGTATGACTCTTCATGGTCACTTGAACATTCAATGTTTTGAAGAAGACATTTCAACATGGAACGAATGACGGATTCATCTTCTCTAGGTGTTTGACTGTAAAATTCCAGAACTCTTCCTAAGAAACCTCTTAATTCTTCATGGGGAAGGCAAACATTTAACCAGACATTGTAGTTTCCGGTCTTTTCATTGAGATGTTGTCTAAAATCAATCAACTTCTTTAATTGCTGCTGTGTTGGATGACCCTGCCAAGACTCCAGCTGTGAGAAAAATGAGTTGGCTTCATTCACGGCAGTGGAAACATTTTCACCAATTGGCAAACTGTAGTGTAGACCAGTCGCCGATGCGTAGGTGTTTTTTAGATCTTTTGCTACTTGATAAACATCTTTAAAATCTTCCTTGTGGCCAGACAGTATTATATCCCAGACTGGAATAAGATGGACACCTCGATCGATCACGCTCCAGGTCTTATTACTGGCTTGAAGTCCCGCTTTCCATTCATTGAGAGAGTCCACCGTGGGTGGTCCTCCAGTTTTTGTGACAGAGAGTTCAATGTTCTTATCAAACTTTTTTGTCTCATTTTTGGTAGAGGATTGTTTGGAATCTGTTTTTGTGATATCAGCTGATGCTGAAAAGAGACCAGAATAACTTACATCCACTGAAGCATTTAAAGCGCTTGTGGTTTCCTTTTTAACTTTTTCCATCATCTCCTGTTTAAACCCCCGGGATGAAGCTGTCCACCAGTATATTCCTCCAAAATGAAGTGGCCCTTGATTAGCATGAGAACCGAAACGGCTAAGGAACTTTTTATATCGTTCCTTCACAGAAGGTTTTTCCACCTTATCACAATTTTCTAAAAGTTCCTCGGTTGATTTTAGTTCTTCCAGGGCTGCTGGGCAGAGGCGGACCTTCTCGCAGGGAATATAGCAGGAGGCCAGTGGAATGTAGCTGTATTTTGTTGTAGAGATATAAGTATGTTCCGTGTGGGACTCTCTCTTTTGTTTTGACATGCTGGTTGAGCTGTGGCCAAAACTGGCCTCGGCTTGGAATCCCCAGAAGCCACCTTTAGCTGCAGTAGTAATACTGAAACCCAACTTCTCCATTGATTGTTGGAAGTTTGATTCTTCATCAGAGGATGAGAACTCTTGCTGTTTAAGCACAGGCTGCTGCAGAGGCCCAGCGATAGCAATCCCACTTGGAACATCGAGAAGTCTTTCCCGTTTCATTAGAACATCCTCCTGCCTCTTTGTCATGTAAATGCCTTCCAAAGCAAGGCCACCTGAAGCCTGGTATAGAAGATCTGCATCCGATAGGTTGACCTGATTGGGAGCTGATCCCGCTGTTGTGGTCAGCTCCTTGTGCAATTTTTCCATCATTTCTTCCAGCGGCTTGGGGGATTTTACCGATTTGTCTTTGTTCTTCTTTAAGATCTCAGCTTCTGATTTAGCAATGTTCTCATTCCTAGTTTTGGTTTCCTTCAGCAAATTTTTAGTTTCCTCTTTTCCTTTCTTGGCTTTCTCTTGATTTTCTTTCCTCTTTGTGGCCTGTTCAGCTAGTTTTATCTTCTTGGCAGTCTGAGGATCTTCTATATTTAAGAGCTTCTTTAGCGCTTGTTTTTCCCATGAATATTCTGTGTACTCCGCAATCTTGAGGTAGTCCTCCGTACCCAAATATTGCAAGGACTGAATGTCTTCCACTCCCAGGACTTGCTGGAAATGCGGAAGCCATTTGTCTGGTTTGAGTGCAAACTCATCAAGCTTTTTGCCGAGCTGCGTTTTTGCAGGTTTGCCTTTAACTTTATCAGGTTTTGTGCTAAGCTCTGTGTTTGCCGGAGTCCCGTGTCTCGCTGCCTCCTGAGACTCTTCAGACAGGGCTGCAAAACAAGAACAATATGCTTTACAACACCATCAGACTTAAAGTCGAGTACAAAACAAAAGTTATGTCTTTGGAAATGACAATGAGTGTAAGCAAAATTCCATCCCTGTAATAATTGTAATGATAAAAAAAATTTAGGGCTTTTCAGGTGTCCAAAACCACAGACATATATTTTAATAAAAGTCACATTGATTAAATTGCTCAATTAAAAACAATAAAACCGGCTTTCAACATTATTGTATGTGCACAACATCAATATACATATCACGAGTACCTCCTGGACCTAACACATATACATATATATCTATACAGTATATAGATCTATCTATATCTATATAAATATATATACACTGAGTTGCCAGATTATTATGACC